GGCTTTGCCCCTGGGCTGCTCCGAGCTGTTCTGTGACAACTAAACACTTGGTCCAGAGCAGCCAGCTCTCGGCGTCTGGGCTCTGGGCCCGCCGCGCTGGGCAGTGTCGCGGCTGGCTCCCCTGGCACCCTCCCTCCCCGTGGCACCATCCATCCCAGTGGCGGGTCCCGAGTGCTGGAATCGGGCAGCGAGTAATCTGCTGCCCACAGAGTGCCTGCAGCCCGGGCTGCAGCGTGGGAGCAAAGGGCAGGGTGCAGGCAGCACCCCTGGAGCAGACCTGCCCCTGATGCCTTGTGGGTGCTGCTGACGGCTGCTCTGCCCCTCTGCTGTTAGGGCACCCATGCGTGCCTGCATCCGCCGCTTGTTCTGGCGGGGGTATTGTGCTAAGGAGCCTTAGCCAGGGCTGGCGTCAGATGGCAGACCCAGGGTGCTGCAGGGAGTGGCGTTGGCAGTTGCTGTACGGGTGGCCCTCTCTGCTCCAAGGCCGTCACGCCCCGCAGCGCTGGAACGTCGGACAGGGTGATGAATAACCCTCAGTGCTTGGGAGGCATGTGTGTTGGGGGGATAAGGCTGGTGTTGTAAGCCAGTTCCCCTCCCCCCGCCCATCTCCTTGCTGGACCTGAGCTTGTCCTGAATGAACTGTGTAAGGTGGTTGCAGTGCTAAGTCAGACTGTGCTCTGCCCTAGAGGTGGCTGCATTTTAGTGATAGCAGCAGTACAATCTCTTGCGCGCACACATGTGCTGCAGGGCATGTTGGAGCCCCCAGACGTTGCCTGAGAGCAGGATGGAGCCGTGAGCTGAGCAGCGTCAAGCCCTTGGCCAGGTTGCAAGTGCTGCTGATGCCAGGGCTGTGGCCTGGCGCTCCGCAAGAGAGGCATTTATCTAGTGTAGCTGCTCCCCTTCCTGCACAGGGCTCCAGGGAACGTAGCCAGCGCCTACTCTGAAAGGGCCTTTTGTGACTGGGCTCGCTGCAGCTGAAAAGGCTGAACTGGGCTTTGCACCGCTACGGTGCATGTTGGGAGCGGGAGTAAGACCACTTCCACTGCTGAGCAAACACTGGGACCGCAGTCCTGTGAATAGCTGCCCTGCCTCGGGGCTTCTGGGAGCCTCGGCCCATCCCTTACCCAGGCAGCTGGGAGCAGGATGTGGGGAGGGAGGGTGAACTCCTTGCTGCTGTGCAGCTGGGGTCTGTCAGGCCCGTCTCATGCCCTTCCCTTTGCCATGTAGGTGTTCAAGGTGGAGGTGCTGTACAATGGCCGGAAACATGCCATCGAGAAGCGCTACAGCGAGTTCCACGCCCTTCACAAACGGGTGAGGGTTGGGCCCCAAACCCACCTGATGGGAAGAGCCAAGGGAGCTGATCGGTCCACTCCAGGCTCCAGCTGCTCCCCCCTGCACAGCTCAGAGGTGTCAAACCTTTCCCTGCACCACCCTGAATACTTTGTGCCCTGCTGCTTTCCCTCCAGGCACATGATGTTGGGATTCCAGACCATCTCCCTGCACTCAGTTGAGGCAGGGATGTGGGCACATACCAGTTGCAAGAGGAGGCCTACTCTAACCTTGGCCCAGAGTGACTGGGAACCCTGCAGCTTCCTATGGCCCCGTGCAGCAGAGTTCACAGGGTCTGGTACCCCTTGAGGCCCACTCCAAGTCCCCAAAGGTACATGCCCAGGGCAGGGGCTCCCAGAGTTGTGCAACATCAGCTGCCGGCATTTTTATTAAAAGGAAAAACCTGCAAGTGTGGCCAGGAGTAATTGGTAGGCCAGCTGCTGCCAGAGCCTGCAGGAAGTCTGAGCCAGGTGCCCTGGGTTAGGGAGCTGCCTCCCTCAGCAGGGCATGCATTCGTCTGCTCTGTGGCATAGGGGCTGTAATGCTGTGGGGCCTCCTGCAGTGTTCTTGGGCTCCCTCCACCCCTGCTGCTTCCAAAGGGACCTGGGGTTGGGACCTGCCAGGGCAAGCAGCCCCCCACCCCAGCACTGTAGCTCCAGATGGGGTAGAGCCAGGCATTGGGGGCTGCCTGGGACACTGACTTGCTAGCTGGCTGGGTAATGGCAGTGCCTTCTGGGGTCCTGGCATGGGGTGGCCTGGTCTGATGGCTGCACCTGGGCTACTGCATTCTGCTTTAGATAAAGAAGCTGTGCAAGGTCCCCGACTTCCCCCCAAAACGAGTGCCCAACTGGATGACCAAGGTGTTGGAGCAGCGGCGGCAGGGCCTGGAGGTTTATATTCAGGTAGGACTTCTCCCTGTTGCCAGCAGCAGCGCTATGGGTCACAGTCTCCCACTGGGACTCCAGTACAAGTGGGGCTGGATCGGGGGCCCCCTTCGCATGGTTGTGGGGCTTGCTGCCCTAAAGAAACAGAGGCACCTTTGGTTTGGGATTCCCTGCTGTGGGGGAGGAGCCCTTAGGAGATGAGCCTGCTGTGTCTCATGGAGCCCTTGCCTGCCTGTATCCTCATGTGTGCGTTGGCTTCAGGGCGTTGTGTACTACAATGAGGAGCTTCCCAAGGAGGTGCTGGACTTCCTAAAACTCCGGCATGGTTACCAGGACCCCAAGGGCAGCAGCCTGGCGTGAGTACCTGGAGCACCTGGCAAGGGAGGATTGGTCTGCAGGGACCTAGTGAGGTTGGTGCTGCAGCTGTCCACATGCAGGCCTTGGAGGGGCTGGGCCAGGCAGAATAGTTAATGGGAGACAGAACAATGAATAGCTGGGACAGGGGCAACAGGCTTCTGCTCCCTCTGTGCTGGGGCTGTAGCTGGGGTGCTGTCCTAGGAGCCTACCTGTTACCTGCTAGGCCCCCTCCATGCTACCCCCCACTAGCAGCCCTGCCCTGCCCTGATACATCCATGCAGTTGATCAGCTGGGAGTTTTGCCTGCTGGAGACCCCAGTGCAACAGCAGTTTGTGTTTTTCTGTAAGGGCAGATTCAAGTGCACAGACCTGGGTGTCATCAGATGCACACACCTTTTGTCTCAGTGGTTGTTGTGTCCAGGCACGGACAGGCACAGCAGTGACGCCCATCTGCATGACATCAGTGTGGGGAAAGTAGAGGGCAGATGACACAAGTCCCTGAGCCGGGAGAACTGCTCAAATCTGGTGGAGAAACACCCCTAAAAAAAATCGGGGGTGCAAGTCACATCAGTCTGAGTTTCATCTCTGTCCATCCCCGGGTAACTGGGTGCTCAAGACCAAATGGGCTGTTGCGCTTTCTCAGCTGCTTAGGGTTGAGCTACAGAGACAGCCACCTGCTCTGGCAGATGTTCTGGGGCAGTGCCAGGTATGTCCATTCCCCAGCCCAGTGCTACTTACCATGAACGGTGTGTGCCCCTGGTGGCTGGGGGGGCACAGTGGTGGTAACCTGGGAGCTCCCACAGCCTGTGCTGGGGGAGGAGGAGTGGCGAGTGCTGACCAAGGCCAGTGGGGATCACGGACCACCAACAGATGCTGTTAGCAGCAGAGTGGTAAGCGGCGACTGCCCACAGGTGCCGCCATGCTCAGGGGGTGCACATGCACCCGCGTGCACCCCCTATGCATGGCCCCTGCTACTTACCTAGATGATGGTCAGCTCAGTGGCAGCAGTGTGTGCATCCATCCGCTCACAGGTGGGCCTGAGCATCTGGGAAGAAGCAGAGCCAGCCCCAGCTTTGATGCCTGAGCCCCAGGCTGACTATACTCTGTTCTCTTGCAGTTCTCCGTGTGCCTTCCCAGTGGAGGAGAGCAGGCAAGTCACTGGATTTGTATCTTGACCTAGAAGGCCCTGTGCACACCTCTGACAGCAGCCTTCACTGGACCTGGATCCAGCTGTTGCCATCTGAGCCACCAGCTGAGTGAGAGTGCCCCCTGGTGGCACTTTGTTTACATAGCAGCTCCCAGCTTCAGAGGCCAGGTCCAAGTCAGATCTGCTGCTGGCCAGAGATTGTTCCAGGGCCTCTCCTGAGCACTACACAGTGCCCTCACTGTCCTCATGCCTGCAGTACCCAGCAGAGCCATCTTCTCCTCTCAGGGGCTCTGTTAGCTGAAGGCACTGGCTTGGAGCAAAGCCCTGGTGCCACTTCCCCTTTCTGCAGTGCAGGGCAGCAGCTGCCCTGGAGCTCAGAGCAATGGTGCATGGTGGAGTAAGGGTGGGTAATGACACCTACATGACCTGATGCACATATGCTTCTGGGGAGAGGCCTTGCCTGCGGGAACCCTCCTCCCTGTCTTACCAGCTGGAGGGGCCTCTGTGTCACGGGACTGTGGGCTGCTGCTTTAATTAGTTATATTCATCACCCCCTCTTGTTGCAACCACAGGTTCCTGCTCACCCACCGGCCAGTCCTGAGCTTCTACAAGGACCCGTACGTGCTGCCCCCAGCCACAAGTAAGGAGCACCTAATTAATTGTGAGGGCTAAGGGGAGCCTGTAGGAATGCCATACTGGGGGCAGACAACAAGCCCTGCCACTTTTCCCCTGAGTGCACCTCCACTAATACCATCCTCTTGCTTTTCAGACCTGCTGCCTGACACTGTGCTGAGCGGTGTGCTACAGGGCTTCTATGCCCCAGAGAATACTGTCTATCGGACACTTGCCCAGCAGGGCTCCTGTGCACACACAGATGGCAACAGCTGATGCAGCTTCACTAGCACCACTGTGGGGGCAGCACTGCCCAGCTGCTTCTCTCACTAGGATCCTAGTGCCTAGCTCCCCAGGCACTGAGAGAGGAGATGGAAGCTGAGCCTAGCTTTGGTATAAGGGACTGACACGGACAAAGTGGGTACCAAGGCCCCATTGCAGCAGACACTATTCTTCATGCACTGTACTTGTAGCTGCTCAGGGGTTGGGCCTGGCCCTTAGAGCATGACGGGGATGAGGGGAGGGCTTTAATGCCCTGGTTCCAGGCTGAGGTGTACCAGTGGCCTCCTGGGCCAGGACTCCGAGAAGCGGAGCCCAGTGTCACAAGCACCAGAACTGACACTTGCACAGCACGCAGAGGTGGCCCCACCAACACAGTGGCAGGTTTTCCAGCCCAGAGTTTGTTTGTGCCTTATGTCTGCATGGCAACAGCCCCCAGGGAAGCCTGATGGGGCTGAACTGTGGGGGGAGGGCATGTTCCTAAGCTGTGTTGAGGGGGGCTGCAGACTCATCTGTGCAATAAATAACTCAGGTTGGGCTGGGCTGGCTGTTGTGCTTTGTCCTCAGGCAAGTGGAGACAAAGCCGGGGCCAGCTGTAGATCATGGCAGAGACAAGGGAACCAGTAGCAGTGGGACAGGGAAGGGAAGGAGACTAAAGGTAGTTATAGGAGCAGCTAGGCAGTCCTGGGGGCAAGGTGCAGACTGGGGCCTAGTTCCATTCCCAGTCCCTGGTGAGTAGGAAGCTGTGCCCAGAGAAATGGAGATACCACCTGGGCACTGGGCACCTGCTGGACCTTAGTCCTGTGGGAGAGGGCAGCCCCTGCCAGACGCATCTTCACCAGCCACCTAAGAGGACTCTGCACATCAGCGATGTCTGGGGAAGCTGCAGGCCTCAGGCTTGGCTCCTGGGAGTGGGGGGTACAGCCCCCTGGTCAGTCTCCAATCACAAGTAACCTCTGTGGAGGAGTTTTAAGGAAGCAGGAGGCCAGGCTGGTGCCAGGCCCCACCTTGGCATTAGGGCTGGGCTGCTGGGACAGCAGCACTGGAGCTATTCAGATGCTGTAGGCCACTCATTTTCTGTAGAGCCCTGGGCTGTGCAATCACTCAGTAGAGGGGCCCTACCTAGCTGGGGAAGGGGTAGTGGGCTGCCCCACTGTTGTTCAGCCCCTGAAGGAAGCAGGCAGAGGCAGCTCTATAAAAACACATTGGTCACGTTTATTGGTGCATGTGCTTCTTACAAAAAATGATGGGAAGCCCAAGCCAGACCTCCCCACCCCCGCTTGCTGGCTGGACAGGATGTAGTGGGGGTACAGAGCAGGGAGGTCCTGGGCAACAGGGTGGGGCTGGAAGGCTCAGCAGCATAGCTGCTGCTCACCTGCCCAGGTGACACAAGGAAGAGGGCAACTAAATATGAGGGTTACCAATAAGCATGGCAGTCCCTCAGCCCAGGCCCACAGCCCTCTGCAGCAGGGCCCTGACAGCACTGGGCCCCGCCTCATCACTGGGCCAGGACACATTACTCTTTGGCAATGGCAAAGGGCTTCTCCACTTCAATGGTGCCGCAGTCAGCGATGGTGACATCCTTCAGGGGCTTGTCTCGGCCATCGGTTTTAGTGTTCTCCACTTTCCTCACCACATCCTGGTGGGACACGCACAGCAGGGTTCTCAGGGCACTGGGAGTTACACTGCTGGGGCCGTGATTCAGCTGGACTGCACTACATGCGCACATGGATGCCCCACCCAATGAAGGGGCTTTTACATCCCCACCCTAGATAGCTCCATGTCCAACTCCCAGCCAGTCCTGCTCCACAGGATACCCTGCCAAGAGCCAGGACCCCTTGCCCTGAGCGCTCAGTGTCAGCTACACATCAGCCTGTGTTAGCCACTATCTCACACCCCACAAAGGTGCTTCTCCTCCTTACCATGCCTTCCAGGACTTTGCCAAACACCACATGCTTGCCATCTAGCCAGGGGGTCTTGACAGTGGTGACGAAAAACTGGGAGCCGTTGGTGTCCTTGCCAGCATTGGCCATGCTGACCCAGCCTGGTCCGTAGTGCTTCAGCTTGAAGTTCTCATCAGGGAAACGGTCGCCATAGATACTCTTCCCTGACAGCAAGAGCAGAGGGGCTGGCTGTAGCAGGGGGACCCAAACAGGGATCCAGAGAGGAAACAATCTCCTCTGGCTCAGACAGGGCCTCTCCTCCCTTCCCCACCCGCTCAACTCAACCCCAGAAACCTTGGAACCAAGAGCTGGAAGGCAGTGGAGAAGAAACCTCCACCGCCTGCACACAGCTCCAGTGGCAGCTGCAGGGAAGGGTAGTACCCAAGGCAGATGGGAGGAGGGCACCCCTAGTTGGCAAGAGAAGGAATGCGATCAAGCTGCATGGTGTTGAAACAGTCACACCCACCAGGACCCATCTTCTTCTAGCCACCCAAGGGGATGTGCAGGATGTAGGGGCAACCCCTAGGACACCTACCTCCTCACAGCTCAGCAGACACATGCCCCTGTCTGTCATAGCAGTAGCTGGGTTGCAAGCACAACCACAATCCACATGCTCCCTAAGCTCTGAGAAGAGTGCAGGATTGGGCTCCCACAGACTGAAGTGGGAGAGTATCTGGTACCTGCACTTTGCCACATACCCACCTGGCTGCTGGCATGATTAAGTCATATGACCAGGCAGTCAGCACCTTCATGCCATGCCAACCTACATCAGGAGTTGCACAGCAGTACCCTGTTGGGGGGTGGGGAATGGGCCAAGTCTCAAGTTGTCATGCCCATCACGGTGGTTAGCAGATAGGAGCTCTGAGGCAGCCTGTGCTGGCAGAGGGACCCCAGTGAACTGGGTCTCTGGAAGGGCCCATACCCACACCCCCTCCTCCATATAAATGCTGCATGGGAAGGATTTGGAGATCCCAGACCTTGTATCCCATGACTGCTAGTTTCAGCTCTCCACGAGGCACCTGCTCTGCTAACCCTAGCTTGCAAGAGCAGCTTCAACTCTGTCACAGCCAGATAATGCTGCCCCCTGTGGCACAGCAGAAGGTCCCCTGCCAAGGGTGGGACAGTGTAGATACAAGGGGGCTGAAGGTGCTGCCCCCTGCTGACCCACCTGGGAAAGGCAGGCCTGGGAAGAAACCCACTAACCCCAAAGAGCAGCAGAAGCCTCTGCCCGTTCCTGAGAGGCCCAGTGCCCAGAGCACAGGAACAGCAAGTGTCTAGACTGGCCAGGGCCCAGCATTACCTCCGGTGCCATCTCCCCGGGTGAAGTCTCCTCCCTGGATCATGAAGTCCTTGATCACGCGGTGGAACTTGCTGCCTTTGAAACCAAACCCTTTCTATAACAGAGAAGAGCGAAAGTGAGGCAACAGCCAGCTCTGCCCCTCCCCCTGACTCCACAGGAGGAGGAGGCGCTGCTGACCCCCAGCCAGTGCAGGCTCTGGCCCTCTTGGCTTGGAAGATGCCCTCCCACATGTGGCCATGGGCTGGACCCCAACCTGCAGCCAGGCCCGAGGGTGAATCTGGGCAACGGCTTGAGGTGAGCTGTGGAGATGGTGCGTGTGTGTGGGGGGTGTTAATCAGGAAAGGTGCCACCCTAGCACTGAGGCAAGGCCGTGGGTGAGCACAGGGAGTGGCTAGCTAAGGGCTTGTGGAAGGCAACTTCCCAGCTCCTAGGGGAAGCGAGGGCTTGTTTCCAGCCCGGTGCCAGAAGAGCGGCTGTTACTGCCCTTGATGGAGATTTCAATGGGGCCTAGAAAAGCCAAAGGCAAAGCCGCTTGCCCTGGGGCTCCTCACCGCTGGGGGACAGGCCCTGGGCTTCAGCACCAGGTGGGGGCTGCGCACTGGGCTCTCAGGAGTGGAGCTGGGCTGAGCCATGCCCAGCCGTGCCAGGATCTCTCATGCCAGCGCGCGCCCAGTGTCCCAGCCCCCTCCCCCTTGGACCACCGACCCCCCCCCCAAATGCTGCTCTGCTCCC